AGCACAATTGGCTGGCCCCAAGGGAAACAGTGAGTTTTGTTTCCCCGAGACCCTCAATGTTCCCCGAGGCGAAGCCGGCTGGCTCACAAATTTGCCGCAATTTCAAGGAGCACGTCATGATCACGGGCGATTCGAAAGTTCAAGTTGTTGTTTCCCTAGGGAGTTAGTGAGCTTTGACCCACGACACGTGACACGTTCTCCTCCAATCGGAAACGTATTTAAGTGGGGAGGTATAACAATACACCATGATAAACCTCTGTAAAACACTGTACACCCCCTATACCGGCACTATACATCCCAGTACATCCTTATACAGCACTATAGGGGTATAAGGGTTGTATAGTGCGGTATAAGGGTGTATAGTGCTATACAGGGGTGTATAGTTCTGTATAGGAGTGTATAGTGCTGTATTGGGGTATATAGTGCTGTATAGGGGTGTATAGTGATGTGCAGTGGTGTATAGTGCTGTATAGCGGTGTATATTGCTGTATAGGGGTGTACAGTGCTGTATAGGGATGTAAAGTGCTGTATAGGGGTATATAGTGCTGTATAACGGTGTATATTGCTGTATAGGGGTGTACAGTGCTGTATGGGGGTGTATAGTATTGTATAGGGGTGTGTAGTGCTGTATAGGGGTGTATAGTGCTGTATAGGGGTGCATAGTACTGTATGTATGGGTTATTGACCAAGCTTGTTTGGTCAAGATGGCTGGATATTGGCCTCATTCTTTTTTTGCATGTTTATGGCCTGAGGTGGAGTCCATAAACTCGCAAAAAAAAGAATGAGGCCAATATCCAGCCATCTTGACCAAACAAGCTTGGTCAATAAAGGATTTATTATTTGGCTTTTGGGGAAATGTTTCTTGCGGGACATGGCGGGTAGTCCCGAGCTGGCAAGATAGCTCCATCTTGTCCGCTCAGGTAGCCAATCACAGCACAGGATTTTATTCATCTTGCCCACTCACGGAGCTAGCCATAATTATGATAAAGGGGTGTATAGCACTGTATAACGGTGTTTAGTATCATCCAACTAGTGGACTAATGCAAATCCTGCATTTTAATTGGCTTCGCTACTAGAGGACTATTACTAATAGTCCTCAAGTAGCGAAATTTGCGCAATCGAGCATGATGCTTTCTTTCGTTTTATTCCCAAATAAATATTTCTTCAACTTGCATTTGCTAACTTTATTATTGCCTTTTCTGTCTGACTAGTTGGGTGATACTAAAACAACTAGACCCTTTGCCCTCAAGGGCCACAGGGTAATAGCCCATTTGGCTTCACCTCATGGGCTATGACCCGTGGCCCTTGCGGGCTACGAGTCTAATTGTTAAATAGTGCTGTATCAGGGTGAACAGTGCTGTATAGGGTTGAAGAGAACTGTATTGGGGGTGTGTAGTGCTGTATAGGGGTGTATAGTGCTGTATAGGGGTGAATAAAGTTGTACAGGAGTGTGTGGTGCTGTATAGGGATGTATAATACTGTTTATAGTTCACCACTAAATTTTCTGATTCTTATTGGTTTAAACTGATCACGTGACACGAGTGTTCATCTGTGGAGAGACACTATCAGCCCATAGTGCCTGTCCGAGGAAAATACCTGGATGGATAGTACTCCTCTGTGAAAACATTTTCTGTAAACAAGCGAGCTTATAAAAAAATAAACAAATGAAATTGTATTAAAGAGGTTCAGTCACAGTATTTTGAGTTATTTTGGCCACATACAAAATTACCTTTAAATGGTAGGAAACCTGAAAATAACAGTTTAATAAGATAGAAAAACACCAAAAAGATAATGATAAACCATAAAGGAGCAAGGATGGAGAAGATTGACACGGANACGAATTTGAAAAATTGAGGCTAAACTTTTCAATATGCGCAAACCGTGACTGAGCTCCTTTAAGTGGGTTTTGTTTATTTTCCTTTTTAAATTTTACATTTGGCTTTCACGGCTTTCATCTGAAAAAGTTGAAAATAATTTGATATTTTGAACTGGCGCGCGGAAGAAAATGTAGTGGTCAACAATAAAGACAATAGAGTGTTTATGTCTCGGAACTATTGGTCTGATAGTTGACCTTGGAAATTTGATGTTCTTAAACTAGCATATTTGCCCTCGAAGCTTCGCTTTTCAGCAAATATTTGTTTTAAGAACATCAAATTTCTGTGGGGCAACTATCAGCCCATAGTTCCTCAACAGGAACACTCTATTGTTTAAATAGGGGCATATGGTGCTGTATAGGAGTGTATAGTGCCGTATAGGTGTGTATAGTTCTGTATAGGTGTGTATAGTGCTGTATAGGGTTCTATAGTGGTTTGTAGGGGTGTCTAGTACTGTAAAAGGGTGCGTAGCAGTGTATAGGGGTGTATAGTGCTGTATAATGGTATATTGTACTGTATAGGGGCATATAGCACTGTATATGGGTGTCTAGTACTCTAAAGGGGTGTATAGTGCTCTATAGGGGTGTATAGTGCTGTATAGGGGTGTATAATACTAGTGCTGTATAACGATGTATTGTACTGTATAGGGGCGTATAGTCCTGTATATGGATGTATAGTGCCGTATAGCAGTGCATAGTGCTGTATAGGGGTGTATAGTGCTGTATAGGGGTGTATAGTGCTGTATAGGGATGAATAATGGTGTATAGGGGTGTATAATACTGTATAGGGCTTTAGAAAACAGCCCCAAGAAAATACGCTTGCTGATTGGTTAAAAATCATGTTTCTATAACTCGATAGAAACACAGAACTAGCACCAGCTGTTGACGTAATGATGGCGTGAACGAAGAGAATTTACATTTTGATGATCAAAGTAAACAAGTTGTTACCCTTTTTTCCGTCAGTTTTCTAAAAGAAATAGAAAACACGTTCTCCATGTTTCTATCGAGTTTTAGTAGAATTCTACTAGTATACTGTTGCAAATACTGTAATCTGATTGGCTGAACCATTGCACACTATCAGCCATTAGTGTTCAGTAGCTTGGTGTGGTCGAAAAAAATGCAACGTTTCCATGTTTCTCCGAAGTTTTGCATGAATATTTGGAAATAAATGAAACAAAATTCCTAAGAAGAGTAAAAGAAGGCCATTTACGGTTTCTTGAAATAAAAACGCTCGAATGTTTTTACAGAAACTGATAAGCATGCATACACAACTGCAAATGTCAAATTGACAATTCAGTCCAAGCAAATTCTCTACAGCATGAAGTTTAATACTAAGACCAGAAATAATTGGAATCGTTATTTGAAGGAAAATTCAGTTAGAATTCTACTAAAACAATTAGATTATTCGCTCTCAATTTCTATGAGGCGGATAGTTGATGAGGCCAAAGGCTGAATCAACTATCACCTCATAGAAATCTTGAGCTCATAATCTAATTGTTAAATAGAAACACTCGTGAAAGTTTGGGGAGAACTAAAAAAAGCTATGGAAACACTCACCTATGGCTTGTGTTCCCACAGCATTTTTCATTCTCCCAAACTTCCACTCGTGTTTCTATAACTCGATAGAAACACGGTACCTGTTTTCTTTTTCTTAAGTATAGTGCTGTATAGGGGCCTATTGTTCTGTGTGAGGATGCATAGGGATGTATAGTGCTGTATAGGGATGTATAGTGCTGGTATAGGGGTGTATAGTGCTGTTTTAAGGGGTGCACAGTGTTTTACAGAGGTGTATCGTGGTTTACAGCTGGATGATACACTTTCTGTTAATACATAACGTGGACCCTCACTAGATGTTATATAGTTTTCTCCTTCTAAAATAATGCTTGCACTGCAGGCTACACATGTACACAGACCTCAAAAATTTAAACCACTCTTGTCACGCAATCAGCACAATTCACTGTTTTAATAATAATATGAAATAAATTAAACATTAGCAGGCAAATATTAACGTTAAAAGCCGACATTTCGGTGTCATTGTGACACCATTCTCAAGGCAAAGTGAATAAATCATGCAAAGTTTTGATTTATATACAGTCTCTACGAATTAGCATAGACATGCAAACAGACTCACTTTGCGCAAAGGTATTCACTTGAAGAACTTGTGATCCTCTGTTATTATGCTAATTCATAGAGACTGTATATAAATCAAATCTTTGCATTATTTATTCACTTTGCCTTGACAATGGTGTCACGATGACGCCAAAACGTCGGCTTTTAACGTTAATATTCGCTGCTTATGTTTAAAGAAATCGTTATTGATCAAGAAATTAAACATTCTCTTGAATTCGAAGAACTGCCAAAGCTAAAAATGTATATTGATCAAACAATAAAAAGTTGAATTTGAGTGACATTATAGCGACTATTTTTTACTAAATTTCTTTGGTAAAAAACATTTTTTCTCTGTCTATAAATCGACGCGACAGCCATTAAAACCTGAGAGAAAATCAAAATATCTTGCTCTATTCTAGCAAGATCTAGCAATGTTGCCTATGAACATTGCGTGACCATAAAACATTTATGAGTTTTGTGAGTTTTTCGAGGTGTCTGATTTTTTGTGGTACCCAGCTAGGGGTATCACGAAAACCGACGTACATGTACTCTTTACATTTTCTGAGTCGAGACCCCGGGGGGGGGG